TGGGCCTCCAATGGCCGCGTACGGCGATGATGCACCAAAGGCGCTGGGCACACAAGGCGACGCAAGGGGTCGGCGGCAGCGACCGTCAGTCGGAAGGCAAAGCCTAGGCGTGCGCCCCTTGGGGCGACACAGCGCCGCGAGGCCGGCTGAAAACGCACAAAAATTGGAGCTCGTCCGTTAACTGGTGTTTGGGCGGGTTGCCATTTTAGGCTCAGAAATTGGCCTTGGATCCAGCAATAACGCCGGGGCCGAGTCCAGGCGCGTTGTCAGAGCAATCAGGACTTCAGGCTGGACTGGTCCTGGACCAGGGTTCCAACCGGCCCATTCCAAGCTGCACTTGGACGGGAGGCAGTCGGTTTCAGTCTTGTGCTATAGTACAGACGGTTTACAAGTGTGTGTGTGTTTTGCCAGCTCCTATGACCCATGATTTTTTTTGAACTGCGCAGCCGGTCCGCCGCTCCTTTCCTTTGATAGTGCCATCTTTCCATGGTCGTTTTAATAAAGCCCGAAATATTGGGCTTGCGGTACACGCGTCACTCGCAGATCGGACCGGACAGCCCCTCGAAACCCGCAGGAACATATCGTGCGAACGATGACCCGACATCTTGGACTCAGGAAAAGACCCCCAAGAGTCTTCAGTGCGAGAGACGGCAGGGCTCGCGCCTTGTCGAACATGAGCAAATGGATTCTTCTCCTTCGGCAAGATGACGTTGTTCTCCTCGACGTGTTCACATCCGAAATGTTGGCCAAGAGACTTTGGGTTGTCGATGTCAGTGGAGTTTGCAATATTTGCCCAGCCGTTGGCAATATTTGCAACACGGCTGGCAAGCTTGAGGTCATCGACGTTAACAACCACAGCAGCTTAAACTCATCAGGAAGGAAAACATTTTGCCAAATACCACGGAGACCTTTTTCAACATGATTCTCCCGCAAGCCACCAATGTCAGCGCTTCCACACAAAGCCAGAATCAAAGGTGTAACTGGGTCCTTGGGTTTCAATTCCAACCGGGCGGCCAGCGGTTGCGCGCGAAGCGCGCCCATGCAGCACTGCCTTCGAACAGCGCCTGCGTATAAATTTGTTTTGCGTCACCTGGCTGCTTGCTATGTCCGGGTTGTGATGCATAAATAAAGGTCCAACTTGCACTCTGGTTTGCGATGACCCAAGTTTCGCTAACAGAGCGTGCCACTCAACACCAAGAGCTTTCCGTGCCTCCGGCGTAAGGGCTACCCCTGAACGTGGGACAAGACGGAGGGACACATGATCAATCCAGTCGCAATATGGTTTTTGGTTTCTTGAGGCTCTTTGGGAGTTGTCACTGGAATGTAACCGGCGTAGTCGGAATAATGGGTTCAGGAGGCGGAGAATCGGTCACTGTGGAAGACATGGCAAATTGCGTGTTTTCCTATGATGTAAGCGTGGCAGCTCTGGCCACGGACAGCGCAAACCCAAGGAGATGAGCAAAGGAAACGAAAGGTCACCCGCGCCAGAAAGAAACGGAAGAGGCCTTCATGCCTTCATGCACGCCTCACGGCGCTGACCGAAGCAGGACTGGTAGGTCGACTCCGCGACCCCGCGGAATGCCAAGGGTCTTCCTATGATTGGATCCTGACAAAGATTTGAAGTACTGGAGCGGACAAGCAACTTTCCTGATCAAGAGCCATGGCTAAGGTATGGAGACAAGCTATCGATTGTGCGACAATGTCGAGATCAAACAGATTGAGGCGGTGGGTGACTCCTTATCTTGCGCAGAACAGATTTCTGATATGACGGTTCCGCCCCAAAGCCCTATCCGGCGGATCTCGAAGAGGCAATTGAGAGGGCGCAGATCCTGGTACGTATTGCGTCATTACCGTTTTTCGAACTAGCCCGCGTGTTAAGTCATGTGTAATATCGATGACGAGGATGGATTTCTCTGGGGTCATTCACGCAATTGGTGTGCAAACTCTGCAGAAACAGGTTGGGAACGGACCGATTGGCAAACGAACCGGTTGGTTTGGCTACCGAAAATGAATCCACTGTTGCTGAAAAGGTTGCTGATTCCTCTACTGGCCGATTGGATGAAGTTGCAAATGCCTAGAAAAGGGCTATGACTTCTCGTGAAAGGCCGTGATGAAGCTGGACGGCTGTGTACCTTTTCAGGACTGCGAGGTCTGAGCCGGCTGCTCTCCCTGCTGATGTCGAGATTGGGGGCGAAGGAGGGAAGAGCGTCACCCCTTCGTCTTCCAAGCGGAGGGCGACCTGCGCCGGATGAGTTCCTTTTCAATCCTGATCGAAGCCGAAGTAGCAGTTGCTAAGGTGTCCGACGATGCAGCACCACAACCGTAACGACAAGATGTGAAGCCAAAAATGAGGAGCATCTTGACACCCAAAGGTGCAGGATCACATGCGAGACATGTGTCAGAGCCCAGACGCAAGGACCTCAAGCTCGCAGCAGGCAAAGCGTTTGGGAACCAAGTTGCCGCGAACCACGTGATTGCTAATGACGGTACATGTGGCTTCAAAGGCGAGTGGAATGCCCTGGTGATGCAAGATGTGCTCACGTGACAGTTGCATTGAGCCACTCATGCATTTCACTACGCTGGATGATGCTGGGTCAGAACCAGTCAGGGGGTTGTCTGACACGAAGATTCCGTTTGGGGCACAACTCTTGTGTTGGGTCAATCGCAAGCGAAGTGATTCCCAACAGTCCACACTCATGCAAATTTGGTATTGCATATGAAGAATTTGATATCAATCCTTTGCGGGTGATCCAATTTGAACTCAGTTTGGATGATGGTCGTGTCTTTCCTGATGTTCCCGATTAGCTTGAGCCTGGTGAATCCCGATGGAGAGGCTGAGTTACCGCAGTCGGTGCATCTTGAAGATTTTCCTGCACCATCTGGGACCTTGATGGAGCATGACCCAGACCGCTTGCCTGGTGGTTCTGCAGTTCCACGTGGTTGCCAATGGGAAGGACATCGTTTGGTGAGAGCTCAAGGGAACGTTCTCGCATTGGCGAAGAATGCGAGCAAGAGCGCTCGAGGAGAAGAAAAAACAGGTCATGGAGGACAAGAAGGCAGACGTGGAGGAATCTGTAGCTGTGATTTATCCCGGTCACGTTCACGGTCAACAAAGGAAGAGGTTAGCAGTGAAACCAATGTCTTTCCTGACGTTGTCTTCTTCATCTCCTCCGCCCCCCTTCTTGGAACTCGCCCAACCTTTGCCTTTGGGGTTTGGCTAATGCTTTTGACAATTCCGAGCACATGTGGCCTTTTCACATTCTTCCCGAGGATTGTTCTGCCTCAGGATGATTAATCGGAGCTGTGGTGCCAACTTTCCATGGGGGCACGCAATGTCGCAATGTCGCAATGTTGACACCTTTCACCTGTAACCAACTCACGAGGTTGCATAAGAAACTCATAGCTCTGGTGGTTTCCCTCTTTGACCTGACATGTATCCAAGCTTTTGACATCCTTGAATCTGACGCACAAGTATGTCTTCTAGCACTTGAGTTTCTGGAACAATCTTCACACCGGCATGACTGCATCCCAACTGTGAAGCAAAGACACCAAAACATTTCGACGAAGCGTTGCCTTGAGCACGTCCTCTGTGAAATCTACCGTCCCCACTGCTTCATGGGTTTTGGAAACGCTGCTCAAGCGTCACGAAACTTGTGTGCCGCGAGCGGCCCGTCCCTGCGTAGCTTGCTGCTCCTTGTAGGTTAGGATTCTCAGGCCCCAAGGGCAATGTGGCAGGAAGCTTTGTGGCATCTCAAGTTAAGATAGCTCCATGCGGCGTGCTTTGTCGCGAGCGTGCAACGCTTCAAAGAGTCCATAACCTTTGTCGCAGCTCGCTGAGCGCAAGGAACTCTGCTTCTGATGTGCCGGAGGCTCCTTAAAGACAGCGTTGCTGCTTGAGAGGAATGGTGCACCGAAGTTTGGTTCACTTGTGTGACCAGGATTGAAAATGGATCAGAACGCTGTGATTGTGGATGAGTGAGAGCAGGTGCGGACATGCATCGATTTTTTCCGATTGACTTCACCAAGAAGACCGTGAAGCACATCCAGCATTGTGCGACTCCCTTCCAAGAACCTATCACGCTGTTTGCTGACTGCCTGCTCAGACCGAAAGCTTCAGACATCTCCAGTTTCCGTCAAATTGACCATGCTGTTGAGTCACTGGGTGTTAACACATTGATCCCCGCAAACATTGACCTCGGCAGCGAAAAGGGCATGCGCCCCCATCCACTCTTCTGTGACTGATCTTGTGATTGTTGTTTTTATCATGGTGTCTTTCTCCATGTGCAGTGTTTTCAGCTTAGTTTTGTCCACGGCAGCATGAGCTTCGTTTCGTACAATATGGCTATGGTCAGCACGAACATGAAGAGCGGTCTGTGCTGGCCAAGCACGCGATCTGCAGAGCCAGAAACAGAAAGAAAAGAGTGGAGGTCACTGAGGTCACTGAGTAGAGGTCACTGAGTAGAGGTCACTGAGGTAAACCTTCAGGCCTTCAGTCGCATGTAAGACAACCATAGCATGGGAGTGCGCGGGCTGACCGGGGCAGGCATGCGCGTTCGCGTGTGTGAGCGTGTTTGCGCGCACGCGTATACGTACGTGTGTGCTGCAGCGCACCACGACCGCAACCTGACCTGCTTCAGAGTTTGGTTTGTCACTGCTTTGGTCGGACAGGGTCCGGTCTATGGCTGCTGCTGGGAGTCTCAGCCAGAATTTGTTTTGCCGCTGCTGTCTGAGTCAACTCTCTCGCAGCTCTCATGGTGAACGATTGTGAGATCTTGTGTGATGAAAGGCGCTGACGATGCAAAGAACCTGGCTGAAAGCCCAAACCTGTCGGGTGGGGGAGAAAGCCCGGCAAACAGGCGAGCTTTTAGCACTCGCGCCACTGCCACTTTCGTCTCAAGCTTTTCAAGGGAGCAAACTCACTCCTCCTTTCAGTGATGAATGCATCATTCTGCCAGGCAATCTCCAAAAAGGCGTATCAACTGCTTCCAACGCCATGCCAGGCGAATCTCAGCCAGAGCTCCATGCTGCGTTCATCGATGAGGCGGTTAGGGAGGGAGTTGGCATCTTTTGGCCGCTAAACATGGGAGGGTGAAGGGTCCCTTTCCGAAAGGAAAGTGGTGTTCTCAAAGCTGCCAGTGCAATTGCGTCTTTTTTATACCAGTGGGTCAAAGAGGAGCGCTGCAGGGTTTCATTTGTTTGGGTGCTTTGTTTCGCAGTTCCCGGGCCTGTCCCGTTGAGGTGACGTGTCATCCAGGTTGTAACTGCCTGTCGACTCCCTTGTTAGTGGTTGGTTCCAGAAGCCGCTGGCTGTGTCACGCGAAAACGATCGTGTGGGCCGCTTAGCAAAGCACAGGTTTTGGACTCGGCCAGAACGTCAGATTGCCATCGGGCCCACACGATCCGGCTGAATGGTTTGTTTGCTGAAGTAGACCACTAAAATTGGGCGGTTTCCTTGTTGCTTCCCTTTGCAAGCAACCCGCAGGGGAAGGTTTCAGGGTTGCGATCGCTTATGCAAAGGGCTCTGATAGGGGTGAAAAAAATGTCAAAGGGCCCTCCTGTGTCCCTCAAAGGGAAGAGCAACCATTCAGTTTCTAAGCGTTTTTCATCTTGACACCAGCAAAGCCATGAGCCCAGTCGCAGTTCGTGGTGGAACTTGAGATCATGTCACCCAGATTGAAATGAACTTCTTCCAGACGATCCACGGAAGCTAAGAAGCCAACTTGTTTCACTTTCCCGCATAGCTGACCTTCGCAAGACTTTGGCACACCCCCAAGCGGACATTTGTTAGCCTTCCGTATGTGGAGTTTCCTTGTAGCTGTGTTAGAAGCCAGCCGAGGATACCGCCAGGAGATTCCGGTTGCCAAAAGCTTTTATTTGACAGGAGCTTCCCAATGTTGTTGCCATCTTCAAGCTCCTCGGCAAGGCGTGAGTCCCGCCAAGCGTCGACAAGATAACTGGCGATTCACAGGTTTTCGCCCGCTCAGTCCTTCAAAGGGGCCAATTTGGAAGGCCCACGAGGTTTCGGCAAATGAGCTCGCTTGCATGTGATGTTGGCCAACGGATGATGCGCGCCAGACACTGCTTGCAACACGTCATCTTGCATTTCTTTTGCTGCGCAGCACTGCTTGGAGTATACTTACTTGAAGGTCATAGGCCACACGCAGCCCGGCCGAGGAAGCGAGCGCAGCAGCATACCCTCTTGGCTTGCAGCAGTCAATATTTGTTTTTGGGATAGAAAGCAAGAAACACATTTGTGAGAAAGTGTTCGCATTTATCTGCCTTCCAAACGAGTTTGCACCCATACGTATGATGTGTAATTATAAATCATACATTACATTACAATACGCTGCGTTACATTGCATTGTACTACATTACACCACACTACACTACACTACATTACATGACCCTACGTTACATACACTGCATTACGATACGTTACACTGTGTATACACATACCTGCACAATTGGGAAGGGATGAGCGGATATGAAAAGAAGAGAGGTGTGTATATAAAAGTAAGTACTAGCGCATACATATACAAATATGTATGTACGTATGTGTGTATGTATGTATTATGTATCTATGCATCTGCATATCTATGTATTGTATCTGTGTATCTATGTGTCTATGTATCTATGTATCTGCATATTTATGTATTGTATCTGGAATTATATGTGTCTATGTATCTGTGCATCTCGGTATCTATGTATCTGTGTCTCCATGCATCTGCGTACCAATGTATCTGTGTATCTGTGTATATGTGTGTCTATGTATCTGTGTATCTATGTATCTATGTATAGGCATCTAGGCATCTATGAATCCATGCATTCAGATATGTATGCATGTACGCATGCATGTATGTACGCATGCATGTATGCATGTATGTATGCTTATGTATGTATGTATGTGTGTGTATGTGTGTATGCATGCATGCAGGCATGCATGCATGCATGTATGTGTGTATGTATGTATGTATGTATGTATGTATGTATTTATGCAATAGATGTATGTATGTATGTATGTATGTATGTATGTATGTATGTATGTATGTATGTAATGTATGTATGTATGTATGTATGTATGTATGTATGTATGTATGTATGTATGTATGTATGTATGTATGTATGTATGTATGTATGTATGTATGTATGTATGTATGTATGTATGTATGTATGTATGTATGTATGTATGTATGTATGTATGTATGTATGTATGTATGTATGTATGTATGTATGTATGTATGTATGTATGTATGTATGTATGTATGTATGTATGTATGTATGTATGTATGTATGTATGTATGTATGTATGTATGTATGTATGTATGTATGTATGTATGTATGTATGTATGTATGTATGTATGTATGTATGTATGTAATGTATGTATGTATGTATGTATGTATGTATGTATGTATGTATGTATGTATGTATGTATGTATGTATGTATGTAATGTATGTATGTATGTATGTATGTATGTATGTATGTATGTATTAATGTAATGTAATGTAATGTAATGTATGTATGTAATGTATGTATGTATGTATGTAATGTATGTATGTATGTATGTATGTATTTATGTAATGTATGTATGTATGTATTTATGTATGTATGTATGTATGTATGTCTGTGTATGTATGTATGTATTGTAATGTGATGTGATGTGATGTGATGTGATAATGTATGTATGTATGCATGCATGTATGTATGTATGCAATGTAATGTAATGTAATGTAATACAATGTAATACAATGTATGTAATGTAATGCAACGTTATGTTATTCTATGTTATGTATGTATGCGCGTGAGTTAATGTAATGTATTGTAATGTAATATAATGTAATGTATGCATGTATGTTTGTTGTGCTATTCTATGCTATGCTATGTTATGTATGAATGTGTTTGTATGTATGTATGTATGTATGTATGTAAGATAATGTATTTTAAGTTAATGTAATGTAATGTAATGCATGTATGTATGTATGTGTGTATGCATGTACTGTATGTAATGTAATGTAATGTAGTGTAGTGTAGCGTAATGTAATGTTTTGTATGTTTGTAATGTATGTATGTATGTATGTATGTATGTGTGTGTATGTATGTGTGTATGTATGTATGTATGTATGTATGTACGTGTGTATGTCTGTATGTATGTATGTATGTATGGAATGTATGTAATGTATGTATGCGTGTATTGTAATGTAGTGTGATGTAATGTATTGTAATGTAATGTAATGTAATGTAGTGCAATGTACGTATGTATGTATGTATGTATGTATGTATGTATGTATGTATGTATGTATGTATGTATCGTATGTATTGGATGTATTGGATGTGTTGTATGTATGTATGTTTGTATGTTTGTATGTAGGTATGTATGTTATGTTATGTTATGTTATGTACTGTATGTATGTATGCGAGTGAGTGAATGTAGTGTAGTGTAATGTAATGCAATGCAATGTAATGTATTGTAATGTAATGCATGTATGTATGTAATGTATGTAATGTATGTATGTATGTATGTATGTATGTATGTATGTAATGTAATGTAATGTAATGTAATGTAATGTAATGTAATGTAGTGTAGTGTAGTGTAGTGTAGTGTAGTGTAGTGTAGTGTAGTGTATGTATGTATGTATGTATGTATGTATGTATGCGTGTAAGTTAATGTAATGCATTGTAATGTAGTGTGTGCATGTATGTATGCATGCATGTATGTATATATGCGTGTATGCGTGTATGCGTGTAGACAAAGAAAAAAGAAAGAACGATAATAAGAAAGAAATAAACAAAGAAAGAAAGACAGAAAGAAAGAAAGGAAGGAAGGAAGAAAGAAAGAAAGGACACACACTCTCGCAAGGTCAGGTGATAGATTGATAGATAGCTAGATAGATGGGTAGATAGATAGATAACAGTAAAGAGAGCACTGACACAAAGAAAGAAGAATGAAAGAAAGGAAATAAAGAGAAATAGAGGAGAAAATAAAGGAAGAATGAAAGAGAAGGACTGAAAAAGAAAGAGAGAGACTGAAATAAATACATAAATAAATAAATACAGGAATATTGAAAGAAAGAAATAAAGTCAGCAAGACACAAAGAACGAAAGCAAAACAGAAAGAGAGAAAAGAAAGAAAGAAAGAAATAAAGAAAGAAAGAAAGAGAGAAGACACAGATAGAGAGAGAGAGAGCGAAAGAAACAGAGACAAGCAAGAAAGAAAGCGAGACATAACGAAAAAAACAAAGAAAGAAAGAAAGAAACGAAGACAGCAGGAGACTTCGACGAGAAGATAGGATAATATCAGAGAAGACGCGAAAAAGAAGAGAAGAAAAGATGCGAAGAGAAGATGAAAAGGGATATGAGAAGAAAAGAGGCGAGAAGAAACGAGAAGGGAAGAGAAGCGAGGAAAGGTATGGTTGCGTTCTCCGTTTTTGAGCTTGAGCTAGCGCAAGGCCGCACGGAACACAAACACACACACACAAACACACACACAGACACACACACGCCCGCCCGCCCGCCCGCCCGCCCGTGCACGCACGCACGCACGCACGCACGCACGCACGTACGCACGTACGCACACGCACACGCACACACACACACACACACCAACGCACACACACACACACCACACACTCCTACACACACACACGCACACACACACACCCACGCACGCACGCACGCACGCACGCACGCACGCACACACACACACAGACACACACACACACACACACACACACACACACACACACGCACGCGCACGCACGCACGCACGCACGCACGCACGCACGCACGCACGCACGCACGCACGCACGCACGCACGCACGCACGCACGCACGCACGCACGCACGCACGCACGCACGCACGCACGCACGCACGCACGCACGCACGCACGCACGCACGCACGCACGCACGCACGCTCGGCAGACAGTCACGCACGCGCTGCAGATAGTCACACGTCGCACACGCAGGCAGCAAAACATTGCTAATTACAGAGAACCACACGCTTTGATGAGATTGCATTCATTGTGAGCGTGCCAGTTCAGGCCGCTCGCCATGGTGTCGCCTGAGATTTGAGAGCCGTCGCAGCTGTGCGCTTTTTTGCAGCGAAGAAGTCGCACCAGGCACTACAAGTTTCTGCAGTCCCAGCGGTGCTTGTTTGCTGCAAGACAGGAAGCTCTCAAGTGCAAAAGTTGGAAGCTTGTGTTTGTGACTCCGCGCGTAGCTTGCAGGCCAAGGTGGATGTCTTTTGTGAGTGGCTCGCTGACAGGCGTCCCGATCGCCGGACAAGCAGAGGTACTATCAGGGCACGCGCAAGTTCTGCTTGTGCAAGCACGCGGTCGAACGGGGCTGCCTCGTGGGGGCGCTCGCCTAGAGGCAGTTCCTCGCGGCTTCCCAGTGTCTCCTCTGGACGCCGCCGAGAGCGTGCAAAAAGCAGCAGTGACCGCGCGGAATGTGGTGGAGCCCAACCGACGCAACGGCACAGAGTCATAAGGTCAGCACGCAATTGCGAAAAATCTGACGATCAAAGGCTTGACGCACGCAGGCAACCTGGCCGCAAGCTGCCGACTCCTGCTAGGAGCTTCAGAGCGTGTTGGTGCAGTGCTCACAGCAGGGAGTGTGGTGGCAGTGTTTCAGCCCGTTTGTGGAGTGGAATCCGGCATTGTTTGGGCCACGCACAAGTTCTTCCCCGGGAACCACATGGGGCGGATAGGTCTCCGGTGGCGGCGAGGCTGAGGCTTCACTTCAGTTCAAGAAGCGCGTGGGTCGGCCCATCATGAAAAATGACGCTCGACGCGATGGAGAGGCTCACTAAGACGCACCCTACGACCGCAGAGGAGCAGGCGAAGATCATGACCAGGGGGGCATTGTTCCAAAAAGGAGATTGGTTGCTTCGAGCAGCATAGACGGACCATGCAGAGGATCAGGAACA